ACTGTATCAGTCTAAATAAAAGTGGTCCAACCAATGTGGTACTACCTGTCTTTAAGTTTTGGCAGGTCTTACTGGTGTAAAACATCTGCAGGTAAAATTCAATCACAACACCTGATCCACCCTTTAATGCAAAAAGCTCGTCTAGTTGTTAGTAAAAAAAAAATAAAATAAAAAAAATCAGTTTTATCTTTAATAAATCAATTCATATACCATGCAAACATGTTCTTAGTCCTAGTTTAAAGAGAGTAAGTCACCTGCTTGCCTTCTTCTGGTATTTTTAAACACAACTGTATGAGGAACTCTAGAGAAGGATCATATTAAATTTCATGAAAGAAATACAACAAATGTCACGTCACAAGCTGAAGGTTTGTAATGATATGACAAGATGCCTTAATGAAAACTAAACGTTCCTGTCTGAAGAAAGGACAGTGTGTCCAGCATGTGAGAGGAGGATATTCAGAAAAGCGTCTCAGATCGTCTTACCGGGGAAAGTTTCTGAATGAGGTCATGGGCCACGTGCACCAAATTCTTATCCTCCCGCATGTGCTTCTGGAAACGTCGGTTTTCCTCCTCCTCCAGCAGGTCGAAGTCATTAGCTGCGTCCAGCAGGGCTTGGATGAGGCCTTTCCAGGAGCGCAGAGCGGGCACCTGCGGGGCCACGGCAGAGCTCACCCCTGTACCGATCACCAGGACCAGCTCGGGGGCTCGCTTGGTCTTCAGGCTGGGCAGCAGTTTCCTTTGGAGCAGGCACAGATTGAGTTATTGAAGGTGTTGCTTCCCGAAGCCTTCTGGCAGCCCGAAGGTCAAACAAAACCTTTTCAAGAGTGTGAAATTAAAACCTATGTTCAACAACAACAGGCAACAAATTACTTAGGACGTTCATCAGTTCTGTTGACAAACAGTGCAATGGGTTATCGTGTGCCGCTGCAGCTGAGCTTACCTGGGCTTTTTAGCATTTGAATCTGCATCCTGACAATCAGCTGCAGGTCTCTTCTCAGTTTTCACTGCTGCCATTCAGCTCCTGGAAGCAACAATCACACAACGGGCCGGGCGGTCAGTGCCGCTGGTCTGAATACAGAGTAAACTGCTACAAGCGCCTGGAAGTTTAACTAGTTCATCAGATAATGGATGTGTCTTACTGTCCATGATCAACAAGCAGAAGAGGTTTTATTTATTTCGTTTATGAAATAAAATTAACTTGATGGTGCACATTAGGTGGTGTAAACGCCTTTTTACAGCGTGGCTGCTCTAAACAAATCCATGTGGTTTTACAGTTTGCACACACACTGCAGACAGACAGACACATTCACCTGATAATCAGTTTTACTCCGCAAAATAAAGATGCACCTGTAGCTGCTGCAACCAGCTTACTGCAGCCCACACTTGGGTTTATAAAGCCCCCCCAAAAAACAACTTCTGAATATTCATTGTAAGCGTTCCAGTTCTTCTAATAGTTGTTAAATATACATATATTTAAGTTGAGCAATTCTTGATCCATATTTGTCCAAAAACTTAACAATCTGTGCTGCTGCCCTAATTTCTAAAGGATGGCATCAGCCATAAAAACCTCTTAGTAACCAGCTTCTAAATATTCAGTGAAGTACTGTGTGTGTGCGTGTGTATATTAAATTTCTATAGACAATATTGCCAGCTGGCATGGTGACACACGCGCACACACACCTACAGACAGCCCTGTGGGCTGACTCACCTTTCATCCAGGTAATGTTCTTACAGGTAATAGCCAGACTTTCCTGCAGGTCACGTGTCTCTCCTTTAAGTCGAAGTCAGAGGAAAATAAAGTGTGGACTTGGTCCAGTCCAGTAGTTTACAACCTGAGCAGAACTTTCAGGTTTTACTGGTTGGAAGTCACACATCAGAAACTGGTCGTCTCCTCTGAGCTAATTTAAGCGAAGTTACAGAGAAACTCCCTCAGTTGTAAGGTTCCTGCTGACAGAAGAGTCCAGACCTGTTCGGACTCGGGTTTGGACTGGTTTACCTGCTGCTAGCAGCCGGTATCCACCTGAACCCTCGGGTCTGCCTCCTGCTGTCAGAAACACGCTCAGCTCAGTCGCGCCGATGCGTTCAGGGTCAGTCTGAACGGCTCGGACATTTAACACAACCTCCTGTGACCGCTGTTGTAACGTTGCCAAAACAAATCTGCTTTATTTTTCAGCTAATAAAATAAAATAAATCGAAGTTTGGAATTTTGTCAAGACTTACACTTTTTTTTTTTTATGAATAAGGGTTAAATATTTTTTAATGATATTTATATACATATATTTCTTTTAATTACCTCCACACATCAGGTGACACTTAACTCCGTGCTTTAAGCTGCACCACAGAATAAACAAACATTTAATAGCTTTGGCTCCAAGACGAGAAAACACCATCTTATTAGTATCTAAATTACAGAAGGGGACTTTTACAGATAGACCTGAATGCAGCAGAGGCCTTATTTATAGCTGGGTTTGAACTGCACATCATTTATCTGCAGGGTTTCAGCAGAACAACATGTTAAAGCAGATATACTCATACAGGTTTAAATTTATCCTCTACAATCTATGAATCTGAATTAAACATGTAATATTAACTTAAAAACAACATCCGCTTGTGTTTTTATTTGACATAAAGATTGGTTTTCATTTAAAAATAACTTTTGGTTTTGTGGTTTTAATCTAGATTATGGTGTTTTGTTTTAAACTGGTGAGTTGGCTCTGCAGAAAATCCATGTTGTTCCTAAAGACAGGACACGTCAGCAGGTCGGAGTGTATGAGCAGAAGCAGACTGCCACCTTCTGCTGGAGGGAGACATGTCTGAACAGAACCCGCTCAGGAAAGCTGAGTCAGCACAGGAGCTGCAGCAGTCAGCAGGTTGCAGCTACTTCTGCATGCTTGAGTTTTCATCCACTTATCCAAACATGTGGCTTGATCAAGAATAATGGGCGATGATTTTTACTGCCCGTAGATTTTATACTTTTTGATTTTTTTAAATTTGTTTAAAAATAAAAATCTCCCCCAAAACAGAATAAAAATAGCTTACGGTTTTAGCTTCTAGCTTTTTGAGCATGAACTTTGGTGTTTAAGCTATAAGCTTGTTTTAGTACAATTAGCTTTCAGTTACTATTTTGCACATTTTAGCTTTAAAGTGTCAATTTTATCGACAGTTTTAAATATTTTAACGGTAAGAAAATGCTTTGCTGATTTTTGTTTTTAGCTACTGTTTTGCAGATTTAAGCTTCCAAACTGCTTAATTCAAGTTTAACATTTCGGTAAATTTGTTCATCAAGTTTCAGGAGTTGTTAAGCATCTCTGCAGATTTGCAGAAATACAATGTCTATATTGTGTTTATATTTATAGCTGTGTGGTCGTTGTTCAAGTTCTAGAATATTTATTGTCCTAAAGGGGCAACTTGTTTCACGGTCAGTATGCACATAAAACATCCAGATACCTGCATCCAGATGGAAGCAACTTCAACTCACCATGGAGTGGGTGATCAGGATTTCTGTGAGTTTCTTTTTCTTTTTTCAAAATTTCTTGGTGGTAGTCGCGCGTGTTCCTTCATGGTAGTTGTGTATGTTTCTTAATGGTAGTTCTACGTTTCTTGTCATAGTCGTGCATGTTTCTTAGGGGTAGACGTGTGTATTTCTTAGTGATAGTTGTGCGTGTTTCTGGGTGGTAGTCATGCATGTTTCTAGTCATGCATGTTTCTTAGTGGTAGTTGTACGTTTCTTGTGATAGTTGTGCATGTTTCATAGTGGTAGTTGTGCATGTTTCTTGGTGGTAGTTGTACGTTTCTTGTGATAGTTGTGCATGTTTCATAGTGGTAGTTGTGCATGTTTCATAGTGGTAGTTGTGCATGTTTCTTGGTGGTAGTTGTGCATGTTTCTTGGTGGTAGTTGTACGTTTCTTGTGATAGTTGTGCATGTTTCATAGTGGTAGTTGTGCAGGTTTCATAGTGGTAGTTGTGCATGTTTCTTGGTGGTAGTTGCGTGTTTCTTAGTGGCAGTAGACGTGTATTTCTTAGTGATAGTTGTGCGTGTTTCTTGGTGGTATTCGTGCACGTTTCTTGGTGGTAATCATGCGTTTTTTAATACACTGAAAAAAGAGAATAGTTGATCCAAGTTAAATGAATTGTGTCAATTGGCAAAACGTAATTAAATTAAGTTTATCCTAGTTAATGTATTAAGATGGTTTAAATTTAAGTCAGTTTTATTCAAATATTTTTGTTTAATTCAAATAAAGAATTCAAATCTTTAGGTCTTAATTTTATGGAAAGTGCACTCAGTTTTACATTGTTCCAAATCAAAAAACGGTTACGCACTGTAACCCCAGATTCTATGAATATAGGCGTAGCTAAGATAGATAAACTAAACGTAGATAAACTCCTAAAAATCTTCTTCCTCTACTTCCTCAGGCGGCTGAGACGAGCTGGTCTGGGAAGCTCAGTCCTCACCTCCTTCTACAGGTGTGCAGTGGAGAGCGTCCTGTGCTCCAGCATCAACGTGTGGCATGGAGGCTGCACAGCTGCAGAAAGAAAAGCTTTGCAGAGAGTGGTGAAGGCTGCACAGAAGACTGTTGGAGTCGGTCTCCCCACCATGACAGACATTTACACATCCAGATGCAAGAAGAGAGCCACCTGCATCATGAAGGACCCCACTCACCCAGCACACACACTTTTTGCCCCGCTTCCCCCAGGAGGTTAAGGAGCATTAAGTGTAGAACCACTCAACAGAGGAACAGCTTCTACCCTGAGGCTGTTAGACTCATGGGTCTCTAACCAGAATAATCACTGTGAAAAATCCCATGCTGCTGATCTATTTTATGTTGATGTGTTCATGCGTGCTCATCTGCTCACAGACTCATGTTCGTGCTGCTGTTCAGCATATTGTTTTTATGCTATTGGAGTGCTTAGCATAATTTTAGATGTTTTTCTTAGTTCATATCTTAGATCTTACCGTTTTTCTTTTACATATTATTGTTGGATGTAACCGGGACTCTGTGTACATGATCTGTTCCACCACATGTACCACGTGGTGCGAATGACAACAAAGAAACCCCGACTCTGATAAAAGCCTATAAACATTTGCCTAAAACATTGATGACGCTGCAGACCAATCAAGACCAGAAACCCACATTACTGCAAACAAATGAGTATGAAAGCTTTTAATTTATAACCAAATTATTAACAAACCTTTCCGATCTATACGCAGCAAAGCATTAAAAAATGCAAACAAACATGTAAAGGCAAAGAGCAGCATTCAAAGACATCGCTCCAAACTTCCAACAATCCGCCGCCACAGGACACGATGGCTTAAACAAGTCCTGGATCTACACAAGAAGTTTTGTGGTCACATAAAATCACTGCCATCATCATGAGTGAGTCCAGTTGTTGGTTTATTTACCAAACCTGTAAGAGGCTGTCCAAAGGTCTAATCTTGACAAGAGAAAACCCATAAACGAACAGAAGAGTCCTAATAATCCCACATTCCCTTTTTAAATGCATAATTTCTTTTTCGCCATGAGTCTGAGAGCGGCAGGTCTGAAGTAGTGTAATAATACACAGAAATAATGGGTCAAAATGTTAGTTTTTTGTGTAGTCTGATAAAGTCTTGACGAGAACTTACTGTAAATAACGGCTCTCTTACTGAAGATCAGAAAATAATTTATCTTCAATTAAAATATGGCTTTAAGGTTCACTTTAAAAGCTGAAACCCCTTGCAGAATGGGACAGTTCATAAAAGAAGACAAACTTAAAAGAAAGTCCTCAGCAGCTCTACACAGAGATGGAGCCCTCTCTGAAGTTGGTCTTCCCGATCAGAACATTGAGGAGCGTAGCTCTGCCCTCTCTGGTCTCCTTCTGAACCTTCCTGATGATGTCACTCAGCTGCTCCCCGTTCTCTCGTCCTACAAGGTAGCCCTTCCCACCGTAACCATCTGCCACAGTGTGATAATCTGAAAAAACAAACAAACAGCAGGAGGTACATCTGGTCAGCAGCTGCCTCCATGAACACACAAACTGTCGACTGATTGTCGACAGAATGTGACATCTAACCTGTGAACGAGCACTTGGCTGAAAACGTACCGGTGAAAAACAGGCCACATGCCACGTTGCTGCCCAGGATGGGGACCTGCTCTCGAGATATCTGACTCCAGCATGCGTCGTTTCCCACCACAGCTATAACTGGTGTCTAAGTGGTATAAAAAAATAAAACATTCAAAGTATCAAAGACGTTAAAAAAAAGTGTCTCATTTAGTGTGTTTGGATGGAGCTGCTCTGAACAGACTTCCATCCATCAGTGTTAACATGCCTGTTATCTACATTAAGTTTTATAGATAATGGAGCTAAATGTACACATATGATGCTGTCATGTATAAACTACATGTACCAGTACATATATTTTAACAGAACCAAGATTTTAAAGGTTTTGACCCGATAGAGATGATGTTTGATGGATTGTCCCTGAAACTGAATCAACATGCTCTGATATTCTAAATACTACTGTAGTACTTCTGAAGACCTTCAAGTATCTCAACAGTAGGCCAGTCGCGATTAACAAGAAATCAATTCATTGAATGATAAATTAAAATTATCGACCTCATTTTCATTTATCGGCTTCATCGTTTCTTCGTCTCTCTCTTTCTACTGAAGACACTGGATGACAAAAGGCTCAACTCCGGAGCTCTTCACTGACCCCTCCCTTTCTCTTTAAAATCCATTTTAACCATCAAAAATCACGATTTTTGGATCATTCCAATCCAACTTTATTTATAAAGCACTTTAAAAACACCCATGCAGGACCAAAGTGCTGTACAGCCAAGTTAAAAAGCACAAAAAGGAATAAAATACAAGGAAAAAAAAAAACTAAAAAGACAAACATCTATACAATAAAAATTGAAACAGTAAAAGTAGTATCAAATAAATAACAATAGTATAATCAACATCTCACATGGTGTCAAAAGCCATGGAAAAGAGATCAGTTTTAAGAAGGGATGTAAAAACAGACAGCGAGGAGGCCCGTCTGATGTGGAGAGGCAGACCGTTCCATAGCTAGGAGCTGCTACAGTGAAGGCACTAAAAGCAGCTAAGCTGAGAATCTAAGCTACGAGCCAAGAGAACAGGCCGACCTCGGGGGGGAAAATACTTCCATCTTGTCAAAGCTCCAAAAATCCTTCATGTAAAAAGTTGTTTTTCCTCTGGAAAAAAAGAAGCTTAGAACTTTCAAAAACACAAAGTTTGTTTTCTCAGTCATCCAGGTATATAACAACAAAAAAGGTTGAATCATGTCATCTGGACTTCGTTTTTTTGTTAATAAGAAACGTTTCGCCCCTAATCCAAGAGGCTTCGTCAGTCTGAGGCCTAGCCATCTGGTATTACCCAGAAGCCACCCTGACTCTTGTGTTTCAAGCCTGCCTCAGATACCCCTGAAGGCCAGACTTCAGGGGTATCTGAGGCAG